CATTGTTTCACTTGTTACTGCATACACTTATTGCTTTTGTGATTTGCAAAATATCGAAAAACGAAGGAAAAAAACCCTAAAACCATAGCTTGCTTCTTCTTTTTTTAAATTTAATTTAATTTTTTATTTTTTTGTCTTTTTCCGTGTCCGGCAACGGATCGCAACCCTCAGTGTCGCCCCCGTACCGGACTGGGACCGGCAACGGGATCGCAACCCTCGGTGTTGCCCCCGCGCCTTGCTCAGCCAGTGAGCGGGAACCGGTCTGTATGTGGGATCCGAACCCTCGGCGGGAGCGCTGCCGCGCTTCCCAAGCGGCGCACTAGCGCAGTGCACCACCAGGCCGGCCCTAGCTTGCTCCTTCTGTAGTCAAAAAAAGGTCTTTGTTCTGAATACATAATGGACTTGGAATGTGAAAATCTGGGGTACGTTTTTAAGTAGAGACCACGCAGAGAAAAATTAAAAATTAAGCTCTCAATGAAAGTTATACAAATGTATGCTTAACCAATCTCTACTTTACATATTGAGATAAATTCCACTTTGTCTTCTGATTAAAAGGGATACACGTATGTGCCAGCTTTCCTGAAAGATGTATGCGCAGCCCTGCCAGCTCCCACTAGGGGGCGGTGTGTGTCACATCGCCATAGGCTCAGGCCCCAGGAGGAGCTGCCGGGCAGGGCACCCACATGCATGAACCCTTTCAGATAGTACCCCAAACAAAGCGACAGGTAAGTAAACCAGATGGTGTGTTTAATTTTGACATGAAGCGCAACACTTTATCTCTGAAAATAATATACAAAGACCACCACTCAGAAAACACCCATTTTAAAGGTAATTTTCTTCCAAATTTAAGTGACTGCAGAGTCTACCATTAGGGTGGGAATTGAATCCAGTAATATTGACATTATCCTGAATGACTCTTACGTGAGCACTTGTATTCATAGTTCTACACCCATTTTCCCACCTGGTCCCTGCCCTTGTTTCTTCATGCAACATAAAACATGAGTCACCAAAGTCTTGTTTTTCTATTTCAAAAAGGTGGAGATCCGAGTTCATTGCTCATGTTTTCTCTGAGTACACAAGGTAACACACAGACATGAGCTCCACCCGGGACATTCCATGGGTGTTTCAGAATTGTGGCAGGTTTGC